CAGTAGTACATTTCAGAGGCAAAAGAAAGAACCAGAAAGCTTGAAGATAAATCTATTGAGATTATCCAGTCTGAGTAACAGAAAGAAAATAGAGTCAATAAAAATTAACAGAGCCTCAGAGATCTGTGGGACACCATGGATTGTACCAAATATGCAGAATGGGAGTCCCAGAGGAAGAGGAGAGGGACAGAAAGGGGCAGAAAGAATATCTGAAGAAATGGCAAAAACTACCTAAATTTGATGGACATTAATCTATGTAGCCAAGAAGCTCAGTAAACTCTGAGTAGGATGAAATCAAAGAGATCCACACCTAGACAGATGATAAACTGTCAAAAGAGAGAATTGAAAGCAGCATGAGAGAAACAACATGCTGTGTATAAAGAAGCCTTAAGATTAACAGCAGGTTTCTCATCAGAAACCATGGAGATCAGAAGGCAGTGGGATGAAATATTCAAAGTGCTGACAGAGAAAGACTGTCAACTAAGAATGTTATATACTGCCACTCTATCCTTCAAAAATGAAGGAGAAATTAAGACATTCCCAGATAAACAAAAACTGAGAGAATTCATCACTAGCAGACCTGCCTTACAAGAAATACCAGGGAGTCCTTCAGGATGAAAGGAAAAGAGACTAGACAATAACACAAATTCACATGAGCAATACAAAGCATCATTGAGATGCTCAATAGATGCAGAAAAGAATTTGATAAAATCCAACACCCTTTCATGATAAAACACTCAAAAGGGGGCCAGCCCCGTGGCATAGTGGTTAAGTTCGGCACACTCTGCTTCAGTGGCCTCGGTTCATGGGTTTGGATCCCAGGTGCGGACCTACACCACTCATCAGCCATGCTGTAGTGGCATCCCACATACAAAATAGAGGAATATTGACAACACATGTTAGCTCAGGGAGAATCTTCCTTAGCAAAAGAAAAAAAAAAACACTCAAAAAACAAGGAAGAGAAGGGAACTTTCTCAACCTGATAAATATCTAATAAAACCCACAGCTACTATCATACATAATGGTGAAACACTGAGAGCTTCCCCCTAAGATCAGGAATAAGACAAGGATGTCCACGCTTGCTGCTTCTATTCACCATTGTATTGAAGGTTTGAGCCAGGGCAACTAGGCAAAATGAAATAAAACCATCTAGATTAGAAAAGAAGAAGTAAAACTATATTTGTAGATGATATGATCTTGTATATAGAAAATCCTAAGGGGCCAGCCCTGTGGCGTAGCAGTTAAGTGCACGTGCTCTGCTACTGGTGGCCTGGGTTCAGATCCCAGGCACGCACCAATGCACTGCTTGTCAGGCCATGCTGTGGTGGCATCCCATATAAAGCAGAGGAAGATGGGCACAGATGTTAGCCCAGGGCCAGTCTTCCTCAGCAAAAAGAGGAGGATTGGCATGGATGTTAGCTCAGGGGTAATCTTCCTCACAAAAAAAAAAAAGGAAAGAAAATCCTAAGAAATCAACTAAAAGGTGAGTAGAACTAAGAAACAAATTCAAGAAGGTTGTAGGACACAAGATCAATATACAAAAATCAGTTATATTTCTATATACTAGCAACCTTTCAATTCTATTGGGTATACACCTAGGATTCTATATACAATCTGAAAAAGAAATTAAAAACACGATTCCATTTACAATAACATTAGAAAGAATAAAATATTTAGGAAGAACTTTAATAAAAGAAAAATAGATTGGCACACTGAAAACTACAAAAGGTTGTTGAAAGAAGTTAAAGACAACCTAAATAAATGGAAAAACATCCCTTGTTCATGGATCAGAATACTTAATATTATTAAGATGGCAATCCCTCCTTGAAATTATCTACAGATTCAATACAATCCCTATCAAAATACCAGATGGCTTTTTTGCAGAAATTGACAAGCTGATCCTAAAATTCATATGAAAATGAAAGGATCCATAATAACCAAAACAATCTTGAAAAAGAACAACAAAATTGAAGGACTCACACTTCTTGATTTCAACTCTTATTACAAAGCTACAGTAATCAAAGCTGTGTGGTACTGGCTAGGGAAAGACATATGGATCAATGGGATAGAATTGAGAGTCCAGAAACAAACCCTCACACTTATGGGCAATTGATTTTCAACAAAGGTGTGAGACAATTCAATGGAGAGAGAATAGTCTCCTCAACAAACGATGCTGGAACAACTGGAAATCTATGTGCAAAAGAATGAAGCTGGACCCCTACCTCACACCATATACAAAAATTAACTCAAAATGGATCAAAGACCTATATGTGTGAGCTAAAACTATAAAACTCTTAGAAGACATCATAGATGTAGATCTTCATGACCTTGGATTAGGCCATGGTTTCTTAGATACAACACTAAAAGCACAAATAGATAAACTGGACAAAACTAAAACTTTTGTGCTTCAAAGGACACTGTCAAGAAAGTGAAAAGACAACCAACAGATTATGAAAATGTGTCTGCAAATTATATATCTGATAAGAGTTTACTATCCAGAATATAAAAAGAGCTCTTACAACTCCACAATAAAAAGACAATTAATCCAATAAAAAACTGGACAACGTATTTAATAGACTCTTCTCCAAAGAAGATATACAAATGGCCAAAAGCACATGCAAGGATGCTCAGCACCATTACTCATCAGGGAAATACAAATCAAAACCACGACGCGATACCACTTCACACCCATGACAACGGACATAATCAAAAAGACAGACAAGAGTTGGTGAGGATATGGAGAAACTGAAACTCCCACACACTGCTGCTGAGACTGTAAAATGGTGCAGCCACTTCGGAAAATGGTTTGGCAGTTCCTTAAAAATTTAAAAATACAGTTCATATATGATCCAGCAATTCTACTCCTAGGTAAATACCCAAGAGAATTGACAATATATGTTCATGCAAAAATCTGTATGCTTATGTTCATAGTAGCATTATTCATAATAGCTAAAAAGTGGAAACAATCCAAATTTCCATCGACTGATAAATGGATAAACAAAATGCGGCCAATCCATACAACAGAATATCATTCAGCCGTAGAAAGGAATGAATTTCTGACACACACTACAACATGGATGAACCTTGAAGACATTATGTAAGTGAAAGAAGCCAGACGCGAAAGGCCGCATATTGTATGATTCTGTTTCTAAGAAACGTCCAGAATAGGTTAATCCACAGAGGCAGATCAGTGGTCGCCAGGGGCCGGAGGGAGAAGAGAATGGGGAATACTACTTCACAGGTACAGGGTTTCTTTTTGGAATAATAAAAATGTTCTGGAATTTATAGTGGTGATAGTCGCACTACTTTGTGAATATCCTAAAAGCCAATGAATTATACACTTTTAAAGGGTGAATTTTGTGGCATGAGAATTTTATCTCAATAAAAATTGTAACCAAAAAAGAGGTAACTTCCGATTGTTTCTCTCTGCAGGTACAAGGGAAGGTGTGGGATCCTGGGGCACTGGGTCTCCAGGAGGCGGAGGGCAGGACGAGTAAGGAGATCTGGGCCCAAGCCTTCTGACTCAAGATCTGAAGGAGAAATCGCCATCAGAAAATCCTCCAGCTACGAAGGGCATTTGTTGTGGCCTCTCATTGAGAATCGAACTGACTCCTTGTTCGCCTGTAGTGTCAAATCTTCACCTTAAAGCAAGGCAGACACTCTCCCTCTGGGTGAACCAGGATCCTGCCACTGCTTTAGCTTCCTGAATGGTTTTGCCGAGAATATCACTTTCTTCTTGAAGGAGCTGCGTTAGGTGGGGTTTGAGTCTGCAGGATCGGGCAGCCCAGTGGGCCAGTATATGGTAATACTGATCGGTCACTAATGTCTGTGATTTCCTTCGTCCAGGAATGAGAGAGGACTCAGCGTCTTGTCCCTGAGGGGCTCAGCCTCGCTGGGACTTAGAGGAAAAAGAAAGAAAAGAAATCCTCCCACAGAGGAGCCACAGAACACGTGTGCCTTTATCCCCTGGGTGGGGGGGACAGAAGGGTGGCCTGGGACGGGGCTCCCAGGACACATTTTCCACAGCTTCGGAGCTGCTGCATCCCCATGGCCAGCAGGTGGCTTTTTGTATCCACAGGGGCATTTCCTCCTCTTTGGCCAGATCTTGTATGGGCTGCCCTGTTCCTCAGGCTTGTTCATGCCTTCCCAAAGGGTCCCAGAGCCCATTCACCCTCATTTCTGAAAGGGCAAGACAACCAATCAAACGTCAAGTGGAATTTTTGAGGGTTTGGGAATATTAATTTAGAAAATCCCAGGGGCACAGAAGGCCAAAGCTCTGAAGTGTGAGAAAATATCCAGAAAGTATACTCAGAGCAGCCCTTCATGGCCAGCATCCTAGCTTACGTCCTCCTCCACACCCACGCCCTCCTGCTGCCCTTGGAATACTTTTTAGCTGCATGCCCCCCTTGGCTGACTGGCAGGAAGCAGGCCCTATTCTGAGGGCGATGGCCACTCCTCAGCCCCCACAGTCGCACATCCCAGGAGTCCCTGCTGGTCCTGCCTCCCCAGGTACACCCCAGGCTCAGGTGATTGGGTGCAGATCTTAGTGTCAAGTCTACATTTTCATTCTGACAGTGAAGAGCTTGCAGAGAAGCCCCAGTCCGGGTCTCAGTCGTCCTCATGTCCGGGCTGCACAGCTCCCGCTCCGCCCTGGTCAGGCCTTACCTTGCACACAGGCGGCAGCCCACCCTGCCCCTGACCAGCCTCTTTCGTACTACTTTCCTCAAACCCAGGCTTCTAGACCCCCCAGAGAGACCCGAGTCTTCCCTGAATGAGGGATGTCAATTAATGCTCCTCAGCAGTGGACTTTCTCTGGTGGCCTGAGTCCCAGCCACAGACCCTCTGAGCCCTCTGCGCCCACCACTGCACTGAGCAGAGCTGTGGCTGGGGAACACCAGGAAGCCTGTCCAGCAGTGGAGACCTGGGCGGGACAGCAGGCCGTTCTGGGCCCCGGGGCTTTGCCCGCAGGCGGCGGGCCTGGCCCGGATACTTACCGGGGACGGCCTTCTCATAGCAGACGCCTTTATAAAAGCAGCACCCGAGCTCCTTGCACCGATTTCTGGTGACATTGTAGTCACATATGTCATATAGAGGAATGTCGCACACTGCAGGGCACAGACACAGGACGTTACCACCCAGAGCACCTCCCCCGCATCACTCTGCAGGGCGTGGGACGGGAGCCCACTCTGTGGGCTGTGTGGAGGGTTTTGTCATGTTTTTAATTACGCATCAGACAAATCCCACTCTGAAACTAAGATGGAGAATGAATTAGACTTCTGAACAAAATAACGTGGAGTTAATTACACAGGGGAACGTTGGGCCCTCTAATGATTAAGGAGATAATGTGTCTCGGTGAGCACTCGCCAGCTCGGCACTCCACAAAGAAAACAGAACACAAAGACTGAACACAATGGATATTTGGGAATCGGGGTTGCAACGTGCAATTAATTCACATTCGAGCACACAGTGAGTTAAAATTTCACATGGGCTGCGGATTATTTCAGAATTTAGAAGCTGAATCAAAAGGATGGAAAGTTTAATGTCAGTTTTAACCAAAAAAAAAAAAAAGGAAATGTCATAAATGTGCAATCCACTATAGGAGACGGCGAACGATCATCTTCAGCACAGCTCAGCTACCTAACGCCTCACACATCTTCAGCTCTGAGGACAGCCGATGACCCTACTTGGCAGCGAGAACATCTGCCCGCAGCCCTGCACGTCTCCTGTCACGAGGGGAAGAGGAGGGAGCCCATCCCTCCATCCTGACCTTCCAAAGAAGCCCATTGTCTCTCATGCCCCTTCCTCCCTTCCCAAGACACCAGGCTTGCCAAGTGCTGTCACCATGGCCTCCCCACCAGCCAGAGACGCGCTGGACCGATGACGGCCCTCTGCTGCCGGAATGCCACTGCAGCCGCAGGAGCACGCACCGGACGGCCAGCCGGGCTGGAAACAAAAGGCTGAGCAGAGTCGGAAGATGAGAAGTCAGCCTGCTAACCGCCTGCACAGCGCCCTCTCCTAGAGCTGGATCCCAATGCCAGGGCCCGGCTTGCTGACCGGGTGGGGCAGAGGGAGCCAGCAGGAGGGGCCTGTCCTCGGCCCACCCGGACTCAGAGCAGCTCAGAGGCCAGGCCAGGGGTGCCGCTGTGTGCTGGCCTCACTGGGTGCCTGTGGTCACCGAGAACCCAGTTGCTCTGCAGAGCGGCTGTCGGTATAAGGGGAGGTGAGCTGTGCCAGGTTTTACTTCCAGTGCGGTCCAGGCTGCAGGGAGGCCCACCTAAGGCCTGCAGGGCAGCCCTGACCGTCTCAGGGACACAGCACCACCGCCACCACCAGGCCCGCGTGTGGCTCCCACAGAATTAGAGCAGGGCCCTGATGACAGGACGGTGGTGGCAAACACAGCTCCTGTGTGCTCAAGCCTCTCTACCTCATCTGGAAAGATCCAGGGACCCCAAGACCGCACGGCTGGTGGGGCAGAGCTGGGGTCCCCGTCACCCCGCTCTCTCCACGGTGCGGCTCCGCGGGCACCCTTCACAGAGCCAAGGGGACGAGGGTTCCCAGCCTTGCTCCAGGGGACGGCGGGTGCTTATTTCAGCAAACAGCACGGGCAGGAAACAACCCGCTGAGTGAAGCATGATTTCTGTTCACACGGATTGTTCTCATCCACAGGTGAGAAAACATTGTACGTGATTTCCCGTTTCGACTGCTTTGATGGAATATTTCAAATAGCAACTGGTCCCCTCCCTGCTGTGTGGAAGCAGTCTCCCCATCATGTCTGAGACCCTGTGGGCCTCCCTTGCCCTCCTCCCTCATCCGTGTTCCTTCTCCTCACTGCTGTCTGCCCGGCCTGGACCTCCCATGCTGTCGGGATGCGTTTCTTCCGAGTCACCACAGGGAGGGTCTCTCTCATCTCCATCCCCCGAGTGACTCCGAGAGATGGGGTAAGCTCAGGCTCCCTTGGCTCACGGTGGGGGGCGGCAAGGCTCTGGGCGGCAGTGGCCCAGGTGGCGCTACTGAAGACACCCCGTAGCCCCCAACTGACCCCCTGTCACGGGCAGTAGGGAGGTGCTAGACACAGCCCCTGCCCAGAACATCAATGGCCACCCTGTCACGTGACCATCGGGTGCTGGAAGCGGCATCTTCAGCTGCCCCCATCACATGCTGCTCCCTTGGGAATGGTACCCAATGCCCGGCGCAGAGTGGCATAGAAGCCCCGAGGGGAGGGGGTGCTTCCCTGGGCAGGGCCTGGCCACCGCAGTGCAGTGTTGATCCCCAGACGCACCCCATCACCCCAGACTCAGGCCCCACGTCAACCACATCACAGCCAGGGTGGCCCCAAGCTGCTGGGGCTCCACGCCTGCTGCCCACAGGCTCAGCTCTCGGCACACCCGGGACATCCAGGGAACAGCGGAGCCCGCGTGAGAAAGGCAGCCCCTGGGCCAGGCCAAGGAAAAGGAGACTGGCAGCACCTCAGATGGCCAGGCCAGCCGCGTCCTCCCGCTTGCTTTGGAGAAACAGAGACCAAGACAAAATAAATAAATAATTTAAAATGCACACACATGTACATGCACTCACCACATACATGCATGCACATGTGCACATACACGTATACCACATATGCACACACACACCAGGTGCACACACCACTTATACACACATGCACACACATGCACTGTCTGCATGCAATACCACATACATACACACATACTGCATGCACACACTTGTGCACACATGCATGCACACAAACATAATACCACATGCACACACACCACATGCATGCATGCACACACCACATGTGCACGCAAACAAACACACACACACAGGCCTGGGGTTCCCTGTGAGAAGTCACCTTTGCTTCAGGAGGATCAGGTGGCTCGGGTCACAGTGGGGGTGCGGGTCTGTCTCCTGGCTGGTTCTCCGCACATGCTCTGCAGGTGTGTATTTGCCCATGGATGTGCCCGATTCAGACAAAAGGAAATGGAGACCCCTGGAGATGCAGACACTGCCCGCGTGCGGATCCAGCAGACAGGAGTGCATGGCTCCTGTGGGGACGATCTGGTTCACCTGTCACTCACCTCGGGAAGCACCTAGACACGGCACCCAGGTAAGGACGCCCCTCCAGACGGCCACCCTGCCCACAGTCAGCCAGGTCACAGTGCCCCTGCAAACTTGATGACACATGCCGAGGCCTTCTTTTCCAACGCCATAGGAACTCCCTTGGCACCACATTTACTGTCTTCTGCGGTGAGGAGAGGACAGAGTGAGGGTCTCATGCCCGGGGCAGCCCAGAAGGGGCTCGGCCTTTGCACCCCTGAGGGATCCCTCTCCGAGCTCCAAACATGCCTGACCGTTCCACAGCTTCTACTCACCCCCTCCACCTGCTTTCCTCTCTGTCTGTCAAGTCACGCTTCCGGGAAGCCTTCTCAGGAAAAAGCAAAGTCCCAGAAGGACCCGGAGACGGGGCCTCGGAATCCACACCCAGAGGGAGGAAGCAGGCGGGTCCTCTCTCCTGATGCCCGCTGCTCCCCCATCTCTCCCTTTGGTCTGCAGAGCAGTTTGTAAAACAGTAGATCAGAAGGGGACCTGGCAGGTCTCCAGTAGGAGCCGCTGGACTTCATGGCTGTGGAAGCTTCCAGAATTCCTGAGACTTAACCTGGCCGTGGGGGAGAATGCTCCATCAGAAAGGAAGGCGTGCGGCTGGCCACTAGCAGATATACGAAGCCGTACTGCCTCCTCAGCCCCTGCTGGAAAGTTCTGGACCCGTGGCTCCAGGAGAGTGTCGCCGTGAGTGCTGAGATGAGGTCATGGAGAGGTTTCTGGAGGAAGGACAGGCCGGAACGAAAGCACGGTGCTCCCAGCGCAGCAGCCATCCGTGGGGTGCCCAGGGGCTTTGCCCTGAGAACATGCTCTCCCTCACTTCACGGCAAAAACGCTTTTCAGAAAAGTTAATTGTAAAGAAAAATCTCCAAAAAGCACATGTGGTTTCCCACAGCTGTTGCCCGTAAAACCAGCACCGCTCTCCAGCGGAACGTCATCTGTGCTCAGGTGGCCAAAACTGACAATGCCCGTGCCCCGAGGGAATCCCAGCCAGCTAGGGGCTCCCTCCTGGGACCCAGGGCACCCCGACACACTCAGAGTGCCCGGGGCTCTGCACCCCTCTCTGTCTGGGGAGATTGACACAGTCATGCGACAGGCCTAAACCTCTCTTCACACGTCATCGGCCAACAGGGACTGTGAAAATCTCTAACATTTGAGACCCACGTTCTGGATACTCTGAGCTTTAAACTCCACATGTCAGTTGTCTTGGAACAAAGGATCCAGTCCTCCTGAGAGGAGTGTGGGGCGGGCCCGGGGACCCACCCCGGCAGGCAGCGGTGAGCAGGGAATGCGGCCATGCGGAGCGCGCACACGTCGTGAGCAGGGGAGCCCTGCGTGCGCTGGGACGCCCGGAGCTCATTCTAACCTCTGACGTTCAGGCCTGGAAGGCGCCTTGGCCTCAATCCACAGGATTCAGACGAGGGTCTAATGGCTCTGGGATTTCCCGCAGCCGCACAAGGAGAGGAGAGCAGACTGCCATGGGGTGCGAGTCCCCGCTTTTTCCCCATAGGCCACTCCACAGAAATTACCCCAACATTTGTCAGGTGCCTACAGTTTACAAGGCACTTCACAGAATCTATTCCAGTTTTCATGGCAACTTTGTGAGGGAATTGATCTTAGCCTCAGACAGACAGACAGACAGTAGACAGAGGATACATAATAGATCAATAAAGGTAACAGCACAGCTGTACAGCCAGATCCTGGGTTCAAATCCTACTGCCCCACTCTGGCCACACGACCTTGGGAACCAGAGTCTTCATTTCCTCACCTCCAAAATGAGTGTACCCATAGTCTCTCTGCTGGGGGGCTGCTGGAAGGGTTAAATGAAACAGAATTTAAGAAACAACCTATTGTCATGGGGTTTGGAGCACAGTAACGCCCTATCTCGGCTATGACTATTTTTACTGTCATTAGCATTCCTGCTTCAGGTTGAGGGAGCTTGGCTGTCTCTCCACCACCAGCCCCTAAAGCAGGAGACGTCAGTGGCTCTTCTTATCCTCGGGAGAAGCAGGGTGCCTGGTGCACAGAACACATTCAATGCAGGTGTCCAAAGGATAATTGTGGAGTTAATAGACTGACTCACAGCCCGCCTGGTCCGGTGTGGGGCGCACGGCTCGTCTTCTCCCTCAACAGGACCAAGTCTCCTACAGGGGGTGGAGCCGAGCCCCCAGCGCCCGCCACTCAGATCTCATAGATGGAGCTTTGAACTACATCCAGAGCGGATCCTTGGGTCTGGGCGAACCCCAGAACTCACTTGTTGGAGAGCCGTCAGTCTCGGTGTCCGTTCCACAGACATTTGGGGAGCACCTGCTAGATGCCGGACCGTGGAGAGCAGAGATGAGGACAACAAGGACCCCGACTCCAGGGCCACGCTGGGCCCACATCTCTCGGCCACACCTCGGGGCTGAGGCTGCCCATAGGCATGAACTGGGCCCTAGCAGGGGTCCGCACCCACAATCTCATCTTCATTCGTCTGTTCCTTTTCTCACTCCATGGTTCACACATTTGCCCACTAAGGCCGGTGTCCCGAGGGCAGTGTGAGCCTTCAACACTACGCACGGGAGAACGACATCGTCCCTGCCCCCGGGCCAACCTCCAGCCCAGGAGCTGGCGGGTGAGCAGCGTGTGCCAGGCATGCCGGCCAGCGGCTGGCAGCAGGGCTCTCGCTCCCTTCCTGGCAGGAGGAGGGAGCTAACATTGGCCGGGCTGCAGGCGGGCAGCCAGGTGCACAGAGCATACATGTGAGGAGGGCAAGTTCCTGACTGCTGGGCAGGCTGTACCTCTGTGGGCCGCAGATGAGGCCCAGGAGAGGGGGTCCCCACTTAGGGCCCCCAGGGGCCGACTGAGGGGTCCCTGGCACCAAGTCAGAACCCGGCCCTCAAGGCTTGTCAGCTCCCTTGGAGGTTTGTAAAGAAGGGCCAAGACTTCCCTTCACAGGCTGCCTCATGGATGGAGGGGGAGCCCAGGCCTGCGTCGCGGAGATGAGGGTCGGATCCGATGGGCACAGCTGGCTGACTTGGACTCTGCCCCAAGGTTGGACCCACTGTCATCCAGGCCACACCTTGTGATCCCACAGCTCGCTTCACCTGCCCATCCCCCACACCTGCCCATCCCCCACACCTGCCCATC